CCCCCCCCCCCCCCCCGTTTTTTTTATCATCAGTATCGCGATTAATTATTCTCTTTCCACTCCTTTTCGACTCGATCTCATTTTGTCTCTCAATACAGAGAAGCAGTCATATTTCAAATTTTCCCATCAAAAATACATCGCGCATTACATGCTAATCGTGCGATTTACGTATCGATGCGAGTGCCCGATAGGCTTGAAATAAGAAAGAAAAAGAGCTTGCATGTCAAAGAGGAAACGTGGAAAAATGTATTTCCATGATTCTATGTATAATTAACGGCTTATCGGCCGAGTACATCTATAAATCGATTTTGATAAATATTCTACGGTTGTTGGGTGATAATAACAATATTTATGCGTGTAAAACAAAGGATATATGTAGTAAATTTATAAAACATTGATAAATGTATTATTAGTATCAGTCAGAAAAGAATTTACGTGCAATTTTTTTTTATCTAGTTTTATTGTTTACCTCTAGCACTTTATAAATTTCAGGTCGCATCGTTTAATGTTTTTTTTTCTTCTTTTTTTTTTCGAATTATTATACCGGAACGTTCACACGTAATCTCATCTTAAAAGAGCATTTCAATTAAATATTATCATTATTCTTAGCTTGGGTCTTTTTGGCCTAATCGCTCGTCTCATCGACATAAATCATCGTTAATTATTCGCCTATTATCACCTAATTATATTTACAATTTGCAATAATTTTTAATAGGCTCGAGTATATTTTCGAGTTTGTTTGTTTGTTTGTTTGTTTGTTTTTTTTTTTTTTTTTTGTTGTTTTTGTTTTTCCTGTCATGGACCAAAACATTTATCGGCGATAAAAAATGTAGAATCAATATAGAAATAATTTTCAGTTGGAGCTGGTACCGCGGGATGTGTCATGGCCTCGCGTTTATCAGCAAATTCGAATACTACGGTTCTCCTGGTGGAGGCCGGCGGCTACTTCGGTTGGTTATCGACCATTCCAATAGCGGCACCGATCCTGCAAAAGTCCTACATGGACTGGGCATACAAAACGGAATCGCAGTCCTTTTCTTCCAAGGGTCTCTTGGACAACGTAAGACATTTCGTTTCGCGCTTGTCTTATCGTATATCGTTGCACTATGACGTTGGTACGCGATTTTAATTTGAAAATCAAATGACCTTGGATGACGCTGGAATGTGAAGAAGCCGAGAGTTCGAGCAATGTGTCGTTTCAATATTAATAATCCAGCGTAATTGGGGGTTAATCTAATAAGTCGTTCATTTGTAAAATTCATTCCGGCCAACGCTGGTGCTTTAAGAACTTGAGCACTTGCAATTTATAAGCTATGAAAATTTATGAACGAAAAAAAAAAAATATATATATATATATATATATATATATAAATATTATCTGCACTTTTGTTACGCTACTGACCAAATTTTATTTGATCCTTTATATTCTATATGGCAAATATTGTTATCAACAGATATTAAAATATCTGTTATTCTCATTCAAGATGTAATTAACTTTGCTTAATTCACATTGTTCTACGCTTAGTCTGACGCATACCGAAGCGCTATCATCGGATCATCGCATTATCATCGAATATTTATTAAATACACTACGGCTTTTACGCGCCAAACAAATCCTTAGCGCATTGTAAAAAATCACATCACAGCGTAGAATCGAATAGAATAGAAGTTTCCGTAACATAATCCTTTTAGCGAGCGTTGAGCATGTAAATGACGTAAAGCTATCGCTCGATCGTCGCAGGTCAGCCAATAAGTTGCCAAAAAGCTCGAGTATTTAAATGTAGAGCGTGCGTGCACAACCCCCACACACACACACACACACACACGTGAGAGTACGTGAACTGCTAACGATAGCAAGGATAATCGTACAATTCTATTATGATAAATGACCTCGTCGACAGCGACAAAACATCCCGCGAGGGAAGGGCCTCGGCGGCAGCGGTCAACTGAACTATCTGGTGCACTCGTTCGGTCGCCCGGAGGATTACTCGCACTGGCCCGAGGGCTGGTCCCACGTGGAGCTCCAGCCCTACTTTCACCGCGTGACGAAGCTCGTGCGCGCCCGAGCCGCCCTCGTCAAGGAGGATCTCGCTCGAGCGATGCGCGAAGCCGCGAACAGCCTCTGGGGGAGCGGGGCGAGCTTCGCCGAGGCTCAGACCACCTTGTACAAGGGCGCCCGGTGGAGCACCTACCACTCGCACTTGAGGGCCGCTTGGGATCGGGCTAATCTCCACATCCTCGTCGACACGACGGTTACCAGGGTGAGCGACCTCCTTTCTTTACGCGCTATCGCGTGCCCACCACATTTACGCAAAACCCTCTAACCACTCGACTTAGTTTTCCAACCCAACCAATGATTTAGCTAACCATGCTATCTTAGAAAGAGAAAATAAAGAGAAAAGACAAAAATATAATAAAATATATAAAGAATACGGAAATATTTTACCTGATACTTGATAAGCATGATATTTAGCATTTATAAGTGTCCGGTATTTACGTCTGCATTAAATTTACCATATCTTGACATTTTTGCCTGATTACATTCTGTTTATAGAGAAAGTAAGTGTAAAAAAAGAAAAAGGTATAGAAGAAGTATATTTGTAATTTTCTAAAAAAAAAAAAAAAAAAAAAAAAAATTTTTTATTTTTTAAAAAAAAAAAAAAAAAAAAAAAAAATCTTTAATTTATTCGGCAACACTGCACTATTTATGAATATACTTTTATACATTAATAAATAATTTCTTTGTGTTATATCGATCGAGGAATGGAATGCTTATTAATATTAAAATATATTAATAAATATTCATACGAATTTTTCAATTATTTAGGAATTTTGTTGTTACAAAAAGCTGTTGTTCATATTTTTGTAATATTTTTTTCACTCACATATGTATACAAATTCAAGAAATTTAATTTTATATTCATTCATTGTATACAATCTATGATTTTTTTTTTTTTTCAATCTAATTTATAATATATGGAACACACGGTCTAATCATCCGTTGAACTCACTAACGCGACGATTAAACGCTATAAGGAACGCGGTGAAATCCAATTTTTTGAGAAAAAAATTAAATTTCCACTACGTCGCTGCCCAAGTTAAGCGAGTCGTAAGGCGAAAGAAAATTGGCGCAACATATTCTTATCGGTACCCAAATCTATATAATTGCAGCTTGATGAGCGAATTTCAGATTAAAAGAATTTCAGTTATTTACCTATACGGACCCTTTGGACCATCTCGCGACAATCACTCACCCAATAATTACGTAATCATTGAAAGGACTGTGGAATACACTACTTTAACCCCCTTTGCTTCATTGGAATTGAAGATCCTGCTAGATAAGGAAAATAAAATTGTTGGCGTTGAAGTACAATACGAGGATGGCCTAAGTGAAGAAATTGAAGCTACGGAAGAAGTTATACTTTGCGCAGGTGCAATTGGTACTCCGCATTTATTGATGATTTCTGGTATTGGACCGAGAGATCAATTGGATAAATTTAAGGTTTTATTTTTTAATATTCAAAAGATTACATTATTCCAATTTTCAAAGAGTTTTCTATTAATAATACAATAATATTCAAAATTTGAAGAATCTTTTAATTAATAAATATGAATTATAATTAAATACAAAATTAACGACATAATTAATCATATAAAATGTAAAAATACGCGAAACCATTATGTTTCATCAACTATCATTCGGGTCAGCTCGCCCGCTTAACTGTTACTTACTTACTCACTTACTTACCTTCTTCTTCTCATTTCTCTTCTTAATATCTTAATAATTATTCTTGTAGATACCAGTGCAACTCGATGTTCCAGCGGTCGGAAAAAACTACATCGATCACTTTAATATGCCTGTTTATGTACAGCTGAAATCACCAGTCAGTATCACATTAAAAAAACTTCAATCCATTTCAACCATTGTCCAATACTTTTTATTCGGAACTGGTTAGTACTTATACTTATAATATTGAGTAAATTGTATTTACAAATTGCTTGAATAACGAAAGGAAAAGAGACGATTTACGGCAAGATTTTTGCGGTAAAACATAAAATTCAATCAATACTTCAAACAATAAAGTTCAAATGCCCCATGATTAGCCCCTTGTTAAATACATGAATAAACTATCGATTATTTGTGTTCCCGCCCCCGCCCCCCCCCCTCCCCCGCATGCACATGAGTTAAGTGGAACACTATTATGTTCATTATATTTATAATCCGCTCAATCCTAAGATTATTCTCAATCAAAGATATTACATTAGAACGGCCTCGTCGTTAGACGAACTCTTATATAATGAAAACTTTAATCAATTTAAATATACGAGAAGGAAAAAAAAAAGCTTATTCGTAAAATAACCTGTTTGACGGGAGAGGAAAAATTCTTCGAAAACTAATTCGTACAATGAATGAAATTCCTTTATAATTTCGCTAAAAATAAATTTTACTTAATTTTATATTTATATTTATTTTGCTTATTCTTATAATTAATGTTGATGACACTGGTAAACAAATAATGATGGCAATAGTAAAGATTTAGTAAAATTAAGTAAAATTTTAAATTCCTGCAAAACGTTTCAGCCGCGCGTTTCATCGTCTCAATTTATAAAAACATAATTTTACTTCCTTTCTTTCTTACGCTTAACCATTAATTTATTTAGGGCTTCTGGCTTCTAATGGAATTATGGGCATTGCTCGAGTCAATGATAGCGCTGTGCTTCTTGCTGGCATTGCCTCTACCGATGAAAAACTGCTTAAAATTATTTCAAATTATCGAACCAAGGTGATTAATTTCTCTACATATATATATATATATATATATATATATATATATATATATATATATATATATATAAACACACACACACACAAAACACGGTGAGACGAACCGTTTAAACGTTTAAACGTTTAAACGAAACGTCTCACGTGCCATTTGCAAATATGATATATTCCCAAGCGAGTTAATTCACGTTCAGATCACATTCACGAAACATCATTATGAAATAAAATGTGAATTTTACGATTAGACAAAAACTTGTAAAATCTCGAATTATCTTAAATAAACGAAATCAGCATTGACATAATTATATCTAATAGATAATAAAATTTAGTGATTAATAGCTTTCAAAAAGATAAATACAATTGTGAAAACACTATTAAGAACGAATAAAAACGTTAATATAATTCGGATATTTAGATACACATTAAATGTGCGTTTAACGAAAATATTTGAAACATCAGACATTAGGTTTTACGAAAATATTAATTATTTATATTCTTCGAACGTACTGTATAACGATACTCTGACACCGGATAAATAAATAAATAAACGATGATCTTTCGACAAAAGTGTAACAACAACAACAACAACAACAACAACAACAACAACAACAACAACAACAACAACAACAACAACAACAACAACAACAACAACAACAACAACAACAACAACAACAACAACAACAACAACAACAACAACAACAACAACAACAACAACAACAACAACAACAACAACAACAACAACAACAACAACAACAACAACAACAACAACAACAACAACAACAACAACAACAACAACAACAACAACAACAACAACAACAACAACAACAACAACAACAACAACAACAACAACAACAACAACAACAACAACAACAACAACAACAACAACAACAACAACAACAACAACAACAACAACAACAACAACAACAACAACAACAACAACAACAACAACAACAACAACAACAACAACAACAACAACAACAACAACAACAACAACAACAACAACAACAACAACAACAACAACAACAACAACAACAACAACAACAACAACAACAACAACAACAACAACAACAACAACAACAACAACAACAACAACAACAACAACAACAACAACAACAACAACAACAACAACAATAACAACGACGACGACGACGACGACGACGACGACAACAATAACAATAACAAATAAAAATAAAAATGCCTTGATAGAACTAATTTCATTCGCTTCAACCGTTTATAAATATCTATTAAGAAAAATCGTAAGAATCCATTTTTTTGTCAACGTCAATGTATCGTTTAATACGATAAATCCAACAGTGTTCATTGAATAATTTCGTAACGATGCATAAATATTCTCCATAAATATTCCAATGCTACCAAACGAAGCCTCGTTTATGTATTTCATACTACGTACACATTTAAACATAAATTATCATTCTATGCACTACTCTTGCTTTATTAAATTGTCATATTATATTGTCATATGTCATATACGCTCGTTCAATAAGAATTTCACGCGCATTGCAAATCCCCCTACCCCTACCCCGCTCGTGCGTCACTGTCCCTTTGAACTTTCTTTAAAATAAGTACTTTATTGCAAGTTTTTGACAATCGTACCGATTTTGCGGTAACGACGGTGTACGCATTAACGGTGCTTCGACTCGATGTTTGCCCGTTAATTGGAAATTATACCAACGATCTATTCAATTCAATCGTCATTGTCAATCATAGAAATGTTACTTTTTTTTTCTTTTCCCTTTTTTTGTTTTCGTTGCTTTTGTCGTCGTTGTTCTCATTTCTCTGTTGCTTTATCGTCTCTTCGTTTTGCTTTTCTTCTTCGTCACAGTCGAAGGCGAATTGCGAAGATCGAGAAAATTACTGACCAAAGCTTTTAATAAATTAATGCCAATGTGAATTAGACTTTCAGATCGCTCTTTCCAAGTTACGCCGACCCGATGCGCCACGGCTTCATATTCATGTCGAATTGTTTGCAGCCAAAGAGCCGCGGGAATATAACGCTCGGGTCGAATAGCATTTTCGATCGACCGATCATCGAACCGGCTTTCCTCGAGCGATATGAAGATGTCGCGTGCACTATAAACGGTATGGCTAATGGCATTTAGAAGAGTTTGGCGATGGTAAATTTGCGTGCCGCCGCTAATGAGATTTGGCCCGACGACGATCCCCGAATTATTGTTAGTTGATTAAGGCATAATTAATTAAGCTTATGCCGTTAATGCAGCATCGCGCGCCCAAGTACACTTGAGTAATTACGAGGCGACTTGTTGTGCGAAAATTCGTATATTGTCGCTCGAACGCGTGTGGGCTAAAAATATATTTTGCTCGTAAATGTAAATAGGCGCTCGCTCGTGCTATCTTTAAATTCTCCGTTCTACCATATCGATAAAACCGAGAATAACCGCTATGGCTTTCGTTAGAAAGTATTTTCTACGATTTTACACTTGTAATTATGCATTCGCAGTGATTCGGATGATTAATGAATGATGCATTAAGCTAGAGTCGATTGCAATTGTTATGACTGAAAGATGTAAATGTCGCGATATAAAGTAAAAAAGATTGTCGGATATTATACTGATGACCCGGGGAGAGTGATGAAAGAAAAAAAGATGGAAAATCAAGAGAACGCGTGGATATTGGGCTTGACGAGAATATTTCGTGCAATTTGTTGTATATAAAAAATGAAATCGGTCTTTGGCGCGACGATTTTAGCATTTATTAAAATACAAAAGAAATTTGAAGTACTCTGATGTATAATCCAGGCAATTGCAATGAAATAAAACGATGCTAAGGCTTCTCTATCTCTCTCTCTCTCTCTCTCTCTCTCTCTCTCTCTCTCTCTCTCTCTCTCTCTCTCTCTCTCTCTCTCTCGATATGATTGAATCGAGATTTATTTTTTAAGAAACTTCTGAAATGTCGGATAAACAAAAATCGAGAGTTTAAGAGCTCATGCTCTAAGCAACCAATTACCTTACCTTCCAGCGATAAGATTAGGGCTTTCCATCATCCGCACACCGCTTTTCCGTAAGTTCGGCGCGGAGGTTCACGTACCCGACATCGAGGAATGCCAGGACCTCGTGCAGGATTATCGAGATGACGCGTTTGCGGAATGCGTTATAAGGGTGGCTGGGCTCACGAGTCATCATCCGACCGGCACCTGCAAAATGGGTAACAGCGACGAAGACGGCGTCGTCGACGAATTTTTAAGGTGGGCGGATTGCGAAACCTCCTCCTTCCTCGCTCTTATCTCTGATATGTGAAGTGGGAGTCAAGATAATAATAATAATAATAATAATAATTAGTCGATGCTAGAATAATAATAGCTCGTTAACTTATTCGTTTGATTATTATGCGACTGTCGGTTAGAGTAATCCGAGTATTTATACCGTCCGATTCATTATCACTTATAACTGGCAAAACAAAACAATATAGATATATAAACTTAATGTCATCTCTACAATAATGGATATTGACATTTATGCCGTACTTATAAAAATGTATATAAACAAGAAATTTATAAAAATTGCTTATATTGAGAAAAAATATATATAACATCTGTATGAAAATCTTTAGACAAATAAGAAGTGCAAATATTATTGGTTTACAAAGAAATTACTTTGCTCCTTTGATTAACACAACGAAATGTCGCTATCTTCGAATGATTAATTATCAAATTTGTCATTTAAATTATTCATTTAAAATATTATTTTCTCGCTCGCCGCTATTGTCTCTAAAAAATTTCCGTCATAATATCAATATTAAAATGTTTACAATACTTATTAGCTATAAACGTCAAATTTAAGACTTTCTATCGATTTACATAAGCATACTTGAAACATACGTTAGGCGCGCACTAATAGATTTTATTATCATATGTCATAGCCTTAACTGTCATATAAATACGAAGAGAGAAAAATCGTAATAAAAGTCAGGCAAGTTTATTCAAAAAACTAACTTTATTAAAAAATCTAAATAATCAAAATTTATAAACTTTATATTCAATTATTACAACATTTATGTGAACGTCTATTTCGTATTGCAGGGTACACGGAATCCAGGGCCTCCGAATAGTCGATGCTAGTGTTCTACCAATCCCAGTCTCGGGAATGCCGAATTCCGTAATAATAGTTCTCGCCGAGAGACTAGCTGGTATCATCTTACAATCATCCAAATTTAAGAGATAAAATTGTAAAATTAATAAACCCATCGCGCGATTCAGCTTGTGGATACTCACTATCTTATGAGAATTAGTGCTTTTGTTAATCATGGTTGGCCAACATTTTATTAGGTAGTAACAAGAAACGCATAATCTGCTTTCAATACACTGTAGGGCCGTTCGATAAGTACGGCCCAAGTATTGTTAATATGTACACAAAGATTTTCACATAATTATAATTGTCAAAGCGAAATTTCGACACAACGAATGACTTATCTTAATTAATTATCGCTCACCCTCTATTTAAATACATAGGAGATATTTTTCTATCCAACAAGCTTATATCATTAACTTATACAACTAATTGTAATCCGTTATAGATTGTTACTTTAAACTGCAGCGTTTAAGCATAAAAAATTTTATATAATTTTTTTTTAATTCCATTCGCATGACAATATTATCTATAATATATGTCATATATTTCTTATTACTACCTAAACTGACTATAACAACAAATCAATTGATAATAACCGAATCAATACATTGATGTGATAAGCACAGATATGCTTGAGATATGTCGGAATTAGTCTTTATAGAAAACTGTGCAGAATAATTAATGCGATAAAAAGTTTCTGTAAATATTAAAGACGTCCATTAATTTTTTTCAATATTTTATGCAACATTTTCAATTTCAATTATCCATCGAAATACATTTATAATTGCAAGCAATTTGTCTTTTAATCATTATATTTATAATTTTTTTAACACACTACATACATTATGTAAACATGTTGTTTTAATTAACATATTCTTCTTTTATTAACAAACTGATTCATAAAATGACGCTTTACATAATTATATTATGTGTTGTATTTGTACATTGAATTAAATTTATTTACGACTATTGCAGTCGACTCCATTTTTGTAAAGTAAGCAAGAATGAAAATTATGAAAAACAAAAGCAATTGTTCGTTTCGGCATTAACAGCAATATATACATAATTAACATATATTTTTAAACAATATTTGTAATTCCAATGTACTAACATGACAATGAAAATTATTGTATGTAATAAAACTCAATGTGTTAAATAACATTTTTGAGTGTTTTTATTAAAACTAAAATAACAAATATATTTCATAATTATGTGAGATTTATGCATTTACTACACAATTGTTGTTCTTAGATCAATAATCCAAAAGACCATTGTGACTATCCATTTATATGTTAACTGTATAGCAACCAAAAACCATGTATACTTTGTTTTTTTTTTTTATTTTTTTTTTTTTTTTTTTTTTTTTTTTTTTTTTTTTTTTTTTTTTTTTTTTTTTTTAATATAAAAATCAATTTTTCAATTCCACTCAATTCAGGAAAATAAAATATTGTATGCAATATATAGTTGCATTTGTGTCTGAAGTTAATCTTCAATATTTCTATATAAATACGTATTTGTGATGATTTCATTTCAATTTGTTATCATGGTTAAAAAAAAATTAATCGATTATTCAAATGATTATTACATATATCGATAAATAATATATAAAAACATTAAAATTTTTAAGCGTTATTAAAAATTGTGCTCTTCCTACCTTATAAAATTCACTTTTTGGCCACAAATATTGCCAAGGATAATAATTCTTGTAAAAACTTATTAAAAAAAAAAAAAATTAAAAAAAAAAAGATTATAGAATAATAAAATAAATAGATTAATAACCATAATTAAAATGTCGAAGTATTCGCTGAATTACAAGTCATTTTACAATTGGAATGATACAAGCATTTATGTACATGTGTACAAATGAATAAATACATCAATGAGTAAATTTATACAAGAAATAAATAAAGTCGTTAATTTATTTCTTGTATAATTTGTTTAATTTTTCCATATATTCCTATTAGAATGCAAACATTGCTCGATAATAACCTTCCTTAACTTATGTCACCAGTAAATTGTAATAAACATCCCACCGCACCAAAATAACCCTACAAAATTGATAAAATGAATTATTGCAGGTCACTTAGTGTAGTGAAAAGTTATGATAAACAATAACAATGATAATGATATGTCACCTCGTGTTCTAAAAAGAGAGCTTTAAGTGTTCCTTTCGACCAATAGTCCATTGCCGAAGCTAGTAACTTCATTGAAATAGGATTCACACGTAAGAAGTTTCCAACAAATACTACCTACGATAAAAAATTAATTCCTTCAATCAATGTAATCAATATAAAAAAATAATAATTATAATAATAATAATATAAACAAATATGTTTTAAGAAAATCTCTTTCGAATGAAAATAATTCAAAGGCTATATATAAATAAATACATAGAAAAAAATCACTGTTAATCAATGTTGTCTTGCTGAATAATGTTGTGTTGTTGAAATTAAGAAATTGAAATTTTTCCAAATCGCATTTCATTTAACGAAGCTCTGTAAGCAAAGCTATAATATTTCTAGCATATTCAACATTTTTAAAAAGTTTTTACACAAAAGATGGTAAATTTACTTTATTCAGGCATTTAATTGATATTTTCAAATATTTAATGACAATGTATCCAAGCATTGTCTCTGTATATTTATGTGTAAATTAAACTTTCTAAGTTCTCGTTTATAAACTAGTCGATCCATTGGAATACTAAATATTTATAAGTATCAATGTGAAATTATACAAGAAATCGTTTCATTTGAATTTAAAAGCATCGATTTAATTATAATTAGGCCATTGCTATTCATGCAATCGTTTTCACATACTTCCATTTATTAAAAGAATATCGTCCAAATAACAAAGCATACCCTTTCGATCTTTTCGTTAAGAGCGCACATCCTCGTTATCGATCCAATATTATTTGTTATGGTGACGAGAGTGGCGCGGGCAAGATCCTCCTTCGTTACAGTATTCCTCCTGTCCTTAGAATTCATCTGTCCAAAACTACAGACATCGTAAAAACTTAAAATACATGTGCAATTAGAAAGAAGAAAGACTACAAAGCGTATCTACAAGAAATAATTAGTCAATACTAGCAGATTCTAAAAGAATGATTATTTACATTAGGAGTCTTTCCATGCAAGAAATTAACTCGTTAAACATGTAAATAGCAAAACTATATTTATTGAACATGCATTTTTAAGACGTTTAATTTCCAATGTAAATTTCTATCAATTGAAAATAAATTATAATAATTTTGTAAAATCTCATTAGAATAAAAAAAAAAAAAAAAAAAAAAGTTATGTATTCGATCGGATTATAATTAATTTACAACAATAACTTTTTCTTCTTCAAATAATTCATTATGCTCTACTTATATTTTGCATTTTGCACCTTTGTATTTGTTATTTTTTTTATTTATACCATAACTTTATTTTCTCTAACGCAAGCACAGATTTACAATTATTTCGATAATTGAGAAACGTGCGACTTTAAAATAAGCTAATAAAAGCCTTGAAATTTCTGAATGAAAAAGAAGTTATAAACTACCCGCTTTAATTGCTTAATGCTTAATGTTAACTGCGAGAGTGTATTTTCTAATTTAAATAGTTTTTTACCTGCTTGCAACAAGGTCTCCTGGTAAGCCAAATCGTGAATAACCTCCTCCATAAATATCCTTAACCAATTTATCAACCCTTGTACTATCTCCACTAGTCGCTAGCTCTATCGCTTCCTCAAATGTATTACAGCCAGTTAACAAACAACATAATCCTAAAAACGTACCACCACCTAAACTGTAAAGCGTATCGACATTTTATTATTACAAAAATAATTTCATTGATGATTTTTAATTGGATTTGCTTAAAGATTTCAAAATTGGTAAAAACTTGGAATTTTCTTTACTATTTACGACTTGTGCTAATTTACAATAGAGCTTGTAACTCTAATAATAATAATAAAAATAATTAAAAAAAAAAAAAAAAAAAAAAAAAAAAAATGAATAAATAGGATATTTTTTATTTCGAGCTACTTCTTGACCCATAAGAATGAATTAATTGCCCATACATTTTCTTATATTATTGAAATTATTTACCTTGTACCGCTTATCCTTCTGTAATCATTTGGGCCTTGCACAGCCAATATACTAACACCCGAGCCAATATTTACAAGCTGCAATGATATTTTGAAACAACGTATTAAATTAAATATTTTCTCAACCTTGACACTAACGGATTGATAAGATTTTTTTTTTTTTTTTTTTTTTTTTTTTTTTTTTTTTTTTTTTTTTTTTATTTTTTTTTTTTTTTTACCTTAGCCTAAGGATAATTAAAGCATAATTAGATATTTAGATTATTTTAGAATGCGTATTGGCGGTAATGATAAATAAACTTTGAACTTTTATCGTACGTAAACTGAAGCGGTATCAAGTAAAAAATAGATATAAAGAAAGAATGAAATAGAAAAAAAACCAGTGGACAATGACATAATAATAATTATGTGTTGAAAATTCTCAGGGACGACAGCCAAGTTTAAAACCATAATGTCGTCTTGGCAGAAAAGAGATATAATAACAATTGGAAAACCAACCAAAAACGGATACGGCTTTGAGAAGTCATAGGGCATTTTCTGACACTTTTCATCATCGGTTGGATTGGTCCAGTAATAACATTCACACGGATTGGTCATCTCAATGTAAAGCATCCCCCTTATTAGACTATCTAACTCGTCAAATTTCGCAAGACTCAGATTGACTTCCTTTTTGAAATTTTCTTCGAATTTGTATGCTCCGCCACCAGTTGCGCAGACCGTTGTCACGAGGTTGGCCATACCCTTGGACTTGGCCAGTGCCAGGAAATTGCCCATCTCGCTCGTGGGAAACCTAATGAAGTGCAAAGTACCCCGCCTGCCTCGTATACAGACATCGTCCATCTAAAAAACATATTATAACACGCTCTTGAGACAAACGCGGGCACACACAATTTGTCCATTAAATTAAATTTGATCTCTCCACTTCGTCATCCACTTCAGATTAAATAGAAATATGTTGGATGAGCGATTCTTTCATTCAAAATTCAAAATGGCTATTTATACGATATTATGACCATTGTCAAGTATCATTCAAATATCATTTATCTTTAAGCAACGCAAAACTTTAATCACACGGTAGGAATACGTATATTTCCTTTTATTATTAATAAATTACATTATCAGCAATATTTAATTAATAGCAAGCTTTATTGATAACTTATTTATTTTAACGGTATTTCGACACATTATGTATATTCGTTTGAAAAGATTATTTTAATTTTTCAAATTATTTGTCATTAATTTTTTTTTTTAAATACTTTCTTAATAAGCAAAATACATAATAATTATAATAAGGTAAAATAATTCCCTAATATTGAATGACCTACTAATGGATCACCTATTGTTTGTACTAAGAAAATTAATTTGTTTAAAATATCTTTCACAATCTAACTCTCACCTGCAAATGTGCATCTCGATGACCAGTTTTGCCGTACGCTGAATTTTTTGTCAAATACTGACGAATATTCTTTAAGGTTTCAACTTCTGCATCGGCTTCATCCTTTGTTATGTATTTTGGTTCAAAGTATACTAACTTACATAATGTACCACCGATATCCATACCAAACCAGGGCATCGCTGAAACACAGAAATATAATAATAGTACTATTAAATACTCTGCACAGACATGTTAAAATCCAATGACAATGAAATATGATAACAGTACTGCGATATAAATAAATAATTTAAAAACTTTCTATCGACATTCCATACTTTTACTTACAAGAGCTTAATTCTTCATCTTGTTAATTTAATGATTTAAATAGGAAAGATTCAAAGACATAATCTTGCTATAGTTTCGTTTGAAGGCCCATGTTTTTGCAATATACCATTCATCTCCTTCGTTACTTTTACTATTACAGGACTATACATCGATCGCATAAATCATAGGCGTAAAGAATTTTTTGCAAAATACCACAATTATCTCTTATATTTTCCAAAGACATTCTTATCTTTATATATTGTTAGATAATTGTCCAATGCAAATCTATTATTATTACATAAACAAAAAACTTATCCGTGTCTAAAAAACAATATTTACTCGACACTGCCTGATTGACGTTAAATTTTTTTTAATAAATGTATAATTACAAAATATACTACTGACTAGCATAAGTATTACAATGATAATAAAAATTCAAGTATTCTAAATTTTGATATCATTTATCTCTCTAATTTCTCTAGTTAACAAACGCAGAAGTTATATTAACAATGGATCTTTTGCACTGTAACCTAGAATGAAATTGAATGATATCATCATTGTTTATGTTATTTACTGAATAAAACTTTAATGACAATACATAGTTAGAACACTACGTGTGTTATTATGCAAGTAAGTGAACTAGATAGTAGTATTAAGAAAAATAAAGGTGGCTAATCCAAGCACACACATACAATTCCCAGACTCACAGGGTGGTGAGTTGTTCTTCGACTGCTTAGTTGATACGGCCGCAGCACTGGAATAACCATTCGAAGCCATGACCTCTTCATTAAGGCAGTTTTCACAATTCTGAGGCCTCATATTTGATTTTACCTAATATTTTCATTAAAAACTCTAATTTGGTTGGATCTTCAGCTGAAAAAGAAAAAATAAAAAACCAATAGTCAGTATAAATTTTAATTAAATAAACATTGAACAAGAGCATGCATCCTTTAGATAAATTATATTTTATATCTAAAATGCAATAATATCGATAAAGGCATTGGCAAAAACATGGCTTTCGCTTATTTAATTGAAAAATTGAAAAATTTTCAAAGATGCCAGATTTTAATCAATGCCATTGCTAAATATTGCTAAATATCATTTTAAAAATTTATATCAATTTATGAGTAATACGTTATATCAAACACGATCGATCATAACGAACAAATTATTTGAAACGTTAAGACAATCCTGGACATTGAGACATTGTATCGTAAATATATATATATTTATATAACTTATTCATAACTATTTACATATTTGAAGCTAACAAGAATATGCAAATTAGCGGTTAATTTTGTGTTGTGTTGTGTGTGTGCGCGTGTGCGTGTGTGTGCGTGTGTCGTGTCGTGTGTGTGTATGTGTTGTGATGTGTTGTGTAAGTCGAATAAATGAGCAAATACAGATAAATTCATCGACTGAGATACTATTTTCTTAGACGTCCGGTTGAAAAGGTCAAACTACAAATAATATGTTTAAAAGTCTGTTTAAAGGTTGCAGTCAGTATAAAAAAAAATTTAGGCGCATAAATTAAAATTTTTTTACATAACAAAAAGGTATATTTTATTTTGGTATAGATAATAGATACACATTCAATTCCTTTTTTTTTTCTTTTTTTTCTCCGAGCATTGCTTGAAAGTTTTTATATAGAGGCTAAAGATTTGCCATCTTCATTGCAAATCAGGCATTATCAATTCAATGATTCTTTAATAGAGTACTGATCTTGACATTTGACGTACAAGAGATAAGTCGAATGTCATATGTGGCAAAAAATGTATCTTACGACATAGCTTACATTACAAAATTTGAAAATTATATTTATTATCAGGTGACTACCGATACCATGTATTCTACAAGTTGTATAACAAAAATAATACGTTTGTAGTAGAAAAAAAAAAAGAAAAAAACGACCTTGCAAATAAATGGCAGCTCCCCTCTATTAAGATACGTGTGCTGTGATTATTTGAATTGTATGAAATGATCTTGATCGACAAGGATTTTAATGGAAAATTGACCAAATTATTCAGTCGGTTTAAATAGTTAAAAAAAAAAAAAAAAAAAAAAAAAAAAAAAAAAACTAGTAAATATTACAAGTTTTAGCTTGTATGTCGAATGATGAAATTTTCGTGTTGCAAAATTAGATTTCATTTGGATCTAAAGCTCGAAAATATCCGATAAATCCTACTGTATCTATCAGCTGATTAATGTGCTAAATTCCCCAGATATTAACGAACTCGGATGAATATTGATATAAAGGTACATTGGCTTCGAGCAACATTTACAAGTCGACGTTCGAGAAACGAGATGACAACTAGCGGATGAGGAAAATTATTAGCAAATATAAACAGCAAGGCACTCAGCATAGAAGATTATTGGCCTTAAAATTGCAATGATCAATAAGAAGAGCGAGAGCCCGTGTTATCGTCATAGCCGTAGTTGCGATGAGTGCGAATACCTCCGGGGAAAAAAAAAAATAGAGGAGGCAGAAGAGGGTCAAGCGACCACGTAAATGAGAAAATATAGTTATAAAAATGCGGCACTTTTATAAAAAAAAGTCGGTAAGGCTGTTAACGGGACTCTGCGTTTAGCAGCAGCAGCAGCAGCCTATGGAATTTCTCTCTGTCTCTCTTGATTTCGCTTATAGGCGGGTGCGCGCGCGCACACGGTATGTATCACGCAAGCAGAGGGAACAACGTGCAATAAATGGACAACAATAAGCAGCACAGCCCTGCCTCACCTGAGTCGATCATCGTATTCGTGAAAACACGCGGCGTCCTTGGGAGCATCGAGGAAGTGCCGGAGGAGTCCGTAGACGCGGCTACGAACTAGGCTACGCGCAACAACGACGTACCACGAGCTCAGCAGCCTCCACAAGCCCCGACAATGCGGACGACACGCGCCCCTTAATGCACAGAGGGCAGCGCTCGTGCATTAGCGTGCGTGCGTGCGTGCGTGCGTGCGTGCGTGCGTGCGTGCGTGTGCACCACCCTCTCACTCGCGCTCTCGCCCTTTCTCTCTCTTAACCTCTTACGCTCTCTCTCTCTCTCTCTCTCTCTCTCT